TATTAATACGTTATTGTATGCGTAATACTCGTACTTGTAGCATGATGTTAAAATTAAGTAATAAAGCACGTGAAATTTACAGAAAGGTAATTAATTTAAAAGCTTACGAAAAATTTATGTGAAATTTGTAGAATTTTTTTTTTTTACTAATTTTTGAGTTTCTAGACTGAGACGTTCTCTACAAACTTAATATTTATTTTCATAAATAATGATAATTATGAATATAAATATTTTTTACACACATTTTATAAGCCAGATAAAACAGTCATTAATAGCATCGTACAAAAGGAGTAAGTAAAGATACGAGCTACACAGTTATTTTATTTTTAGTGTTCTTTTCCTATAAAAATATTATTTGAATATAATTTGAATAAATATTGAATTAAATATTATTTGAACAAATTGTGATAGTATGCTCTAAAATGTTTATTATTCAATTTTTTTACAATTAATTTTATGATTGGATTTTTATTATTATTTTCTCTCATCATTTCCTTTATGGAGTTGAGAGTTCAAAACAATTAGAGAAATTTACAGCAATTATCTATAATATATAAAACAATTAAGAATTTATATGCACAGAAAATATGCTCTGTTCACATTAGCATCAATTGATTCTACTATAAAATATTAAGTTTACGCATTGCCATTTTTTTCCACAGCCTACAGACATTACCAAAAAATGAAAAATATTAAAATTTCTTATGGGTTTCAAAATCATTCTTTAAAGGATCTTTTGGTTCGGAATTAGTACGAAATTGCGTTAATTTTTATATTTTATCGGTTTTTGAAAAGTTTCCAAATACAATTCTATATAGTTTTCTGAACTGATCGAAAATTCATTTTTTTATATTAAAGTGCTATGCAAATTTATAATCACAGCTAAAAACATGGATTATAATCTTATAAACATGTCTTTAAAATGCACAGTGAGTATTTAAAAAATAATTAAAATTTATTATAATTTATTTCGCTTTTTTATAACGCTTTTTTCTATTTTAACCAATTTATCCTTTGCCCTGCTTCCCATTATTTCATTGCCATATCACCCATTTGTCCATTATCACACTATCCATTACTATATTATTCATTTATCCATTAACAGTCTGCTCATTTTATTCCACTAGATCTTTTTACATGTTTTCCAATGAAATAAATTTCTTTCTGGATTAATTTCTTGAAATATTTAATTAGATGTATATTAATATATACTGTATACGTTTAAAAGTTACGTCTTTAGTGGTCTATATAATATAGTGGTCCATGTAAACGCTAATAGAGTCAGCAAAATACTTTATCACTGAAAATTAAATGACTGGTAACAATAAAATTAATAATACAAATTTTGAAATTTTAATTTAAAAACTTGAAAAGAATAATTAAATTTTGAATAGCTTTATTTAAATAAGACATTTTTATCAATACTTTAAATTTTTATTTCACGAAAAAGTATAAATATTTATCATTTGAAAAGTATAAATATTTATTATTTAAATATCACTGAACTGTCAAAAATGAGAGTTCTTTCCTCAAGTGTATCATTATGTGTATTAGTTTACAATTAAATATAAGATATATTTTGACGTTATAGCTATTTAAGTGTTTTATTATTAATGAATCTAAG